AAATTTGTTGTTAGTTGCATCAACCAAATTAAATAGTAGTCCATGTAAATTAATCTTATGTCAATACTTACTTAAGAAAGGGTTGAACTTCCGGACAATTTAGCAGCACATGATTTGAAGCTGATTGTACTCCATACTACTTAGGCCCCTTTTTGTTCGATCTTTAGAACCTCGACCTGGTTGATTGAATATGGACATTGGTGGATATAATGGATCAATCCCAATCATGACATTGTGCCGATTGGGCCTATTTATAGCACATGGCACATGACTGTCAAAGTAGTAAGAACAAAAATGGGCAGTCTCCTTTGCAAGATAGGCTTCCATATGGATCCTTCAATCCTATTCCCCAGTTTAACAAATTGTTTACACTTGCCCATAGTCCTGCATTGTAACGACCCGACCGGTCGTTTTTAGAATTTACGCCCCGATCCCCCATTAACTGTTTCCACTAAGTTCATTTCTGCTATTTTGGTTTGCCGGGACGTTCGGTGTTGAGCTTTGGAGAGTTTTGGGACACTAAGTCCCTAAATGAGAGCTTAAGAGTTGAAAAATGGTCCGTAATCAGAACAGTGTGAAGACGACCTCGGAATGGAAATCCGATGGTTCCGTTAGCTCAGTTAGGTGATTTCGGGGTTGGGAGCGTGTTCGGAATGTATTTTGGAAGTCCGTAGCTAATTTAAGCTTGAAATGCCGAAGTTTGAATTTTTGAAGTTTCCGGTCCGATAGTGAGATTTGATCCGAGGGTCGGAATGGAATTTCGGAAGTTGCAGTAGTCCCGTCATGTCATTTGGGAGGTGTGTGCAAAATTTTAGGTCATTCAGACGTGGTTTGGTTAGGTTTTTTTGATCGAAAGCGTATTTTGAAGACTTGGAAGTTCATAAGCTTGATTTTTTGTTTGATTCGTCGTTTCGATGTTGTTTTATGTGATTTGAAACTTCGAGCGAGTCCGTGTTAGGTTATATGACTTGTGTGTGTGACTATACGGGGTCCCGGGAGCCTCGGGTGTGTTTCGGATGCTCAACGGGTCATTTTCCTCCTATTTTGAACTGCTGTTGTTGCTGCTTCTGATATCCTTCTACGCGATCGCGAAGCTTCTCCCGCGATCGCGATGCATTGTTGAAGACCACCTCGAAATCCTTCTTCGCGTTCACATCTGTCTCATCGCGTTCGCGAAGCCCGGTTTATTTCCTCTTCGCGTTCGCATAGGATTTCACGCGTTCGCGTATAGCAACTTCTGGACCTCAATATTTTCCTTCAACGCGTTCGCGTTCATGCTTCCGCGATCGCGAAGCACTATTTTTCTCTTCTCCGCGTTCGCGTTCTCATCATCGCGTTCGCGATGTACATTTCTGGGCCTTCTCGAATTACCTCTATGCGATCGCGATCGTTGTTCCGCGATCGCGATGAACAAATCGCTGGGCAGACAGAATTAAACCCCAAATTCGAGGGTTTCACCATTTTTATCACATTTTGACTTCTAGAGCTCGGCTCTTGGCGATTTTTAAAGGGATTTTCACCCGGGCGACTTGGGTAAGTGCTTCTCACTCGATTTAGACCAATTTTCATGAATCTCCTCTTAATTTCATCCTTTAATTTCAGATTTTGAGTGAAAAATGGGTAAAACTTCATAGACCAAATTGTTGAGTTTTGAGGGGGTGTATCACCTCCGATTTGGGAGATTTTTATATGGTTAGACTCGTGAGGGTACGAGGGTTCTGAAAATATAAAAATTATCCGATTCCGAGACGTTGGCCTGAGGGGCGTTTTGGTCATTTTGCCTAATTTCGCGCTTTAGCTTTGAATTAAATAGTAGGATCAGTTTCTTGAGATGTTATTTACAATGTGTGATTTAATTGAATAGATTTGGGCCATTTGGAGTTGAGTACTCGTGGCAAGAACGTGGTTGCTAGTTGATTTTAGCCGGTTCGAGGTAAGTATCTTGCCTAACCTTGTGTGGGGGACTTCCCCTTAGGATTTGAGTCTTCCTTGTTGATTGTATTCCCTGTACGCGAGGTGACGAGTGCGTGCTCGGATTTATTTGTGGAAAATTGCCCTTTTAGGCTCTTAGGTACTTGTAATCACCGAATATGAAGTTGTTCTGGATACGATTGAGTTCCCTGTTATTAGTTCCACCTCTACACGACTTACTTGGAATTTATCTGCCCTTTTTGGTTATTCTTGTTGCCTAAATGACTTTTACTTGTTTAACTATAGACATTGCCCTTCTGTAGTCACATTATCATTCCTAACTGCTTGTCTTTATCTTGAAAGCATTATTTCTATCTCTCGTGTAATTAATTGGTCTTAATTGGAAAGAAGTTAGATATCCTATGTTTAGTCGATACTTCCTTAATTGTAATTATTTGATCCATGTTAACTTCCTTGTTGTAGAACTGAGTATTATGGGATCGTTGTTTCGTATCATTTCTCCCTTGTTGAGTTGTCCTTATTGCGCTTAGTATTTCCCTGTTACATTTATTTCCTTGTACGTTAGTTGTACCGTCTTTTGGTGAACGGAATCTCTTGAGTTGATTCTCTTGCTTTGTTCCTGTATATATTGTCATTTGTTGATATTGTGATGCACGAGGTTTCTGCCGTGCGGTTGTTGATATCGTGATGCACGAGGTTTCTGCCGTGCGGTTGTTGATATGTGATGCACGAGGTTTCTGCCGTGCGGTGGTTGGTATTGTGATGCACGAGATTTCTGTCGTGCGGTTGTTGGTATAGTGATGCACGAGGTTTCTACCTTGCGGTTGTTGTTGAAGGGTTGCACGAGGTCTTTGCCGTGCTATTGTTGTTATTGATGTTTCGAACATGCGGCGTAATAAGGCGGATATGTTATATGCTTATATGTGGGTTGTGCATGTGGCGAAATAAGGTGGACTATGTCAGGGGATGATTGTAGAGAATTGTGACGGCCAGTGGAGGCATTCCTATTTGTTTAATAATGTGATTGTGGGTTGCTTACCGGTATGAGCTTTATCGCTTGGAAGTTGTGGGGAAACATTGCACGTGCGGTCCGTTCTCCTTTTCATGTTTACTAGCTGGTAGAATTTTGTTAGAAACTTGCACAAGCATACACGTAGCTGAACACCCCTATTAGAGGTGAATTCCTCCTGATTTTGCTAAGGGTGGAGGTACGCCCTCGTTTATCCATTATATTTGTGAGAGTGGCCCTAGTTAGCCAGTTAGTTGTCGGTATGACCATGAGATTGATGGGGCATAGGATGCCAATTGTAAGATTTCAGATGCTGGGTCTTCGCGAGTTGTGGTTTATCCGAGACTTGGTAAAATTGTAGAAAGAGTTGGATAAGACCTTTGTGAACATCATTGTAGGATATGAGTTATTGACTTGTTTTCCTATTTCTGTGTTGTGACCTTAGGATTTGGATTGTGATTCTGTCGTCATTTCCTATCCTCATTTATTATATTCTCGTTGTTACTTGTTGTATTTTTCCCTTATTGTGATTTGTAGCATTCTTGGTCATTCATGCAGTCTTTACATAATTATATGTCATTTCCATTATTCCTATGATTATACTGTTTATTGACCGGTAGGTGCCTTGACTGTTCCTCGTCACTACTCCACCGAGGTTAGTCTTGATACTTACTGGGCACCGCCGTGGTGTGCTCATGCTACTCTTCTGCACATTTTATTGTGCAGATACAGGTACTCCCACTCAGTTCTGTCAGCCTTGGAAGGAGGCGTATCGGTAGAGACTTCGAGGTATATCTGCTACGTCCGCAGACCGAGGAGTCCCTTTCCAGCTTTCTGTAATAAGTATAGCTATTTCAGTATTTCTCCTTTGTATAGATATTCTTGAGTCAGAGCCTCTTTTGTATCCCTTAGCTTGTGATTTGTGAGTTTTCGGGTTTTGGGAATTGTTTTAGACTTGTGATGTTGAGTTGTACTTGCCATGCGGCATTCAGTACAGTTTCCTTTTAGATATTTGATTTGATTTTTCTCTATTTTTCTGCAATTATTACATTTCCGCAAGTGTTAGGCTTACCTGGTCATGGGGACCAGGTGCCGTCATGACATGTTCACAGTTGGTGAACTAGGGTCGTGACATGCACATTGTCATATTAGACGATAACATTAAAGAAAATTATAAGAATAAATCAAGGTTTGATTATTACCTCTCGAATGGATACATCCACCTGCATTGAACTGGCCCTCCAAGTCGCGCCTCGTGTACAAGGTGAATTGGAAGGTGTTCCATCACATCAAAGAAACCACATGGATGAATCCTTTCCATCTTTTATCACGGGAATGTTCCAATTCATTTGAACTAGGTTTTCTTCCCTTAATGTGGTAGAACATAAGTCTTTGAAAACAAACTTATCTCTGTGATGGGTTTCCATATATTTTCAGGCAAACCAAAAAATGCAATAGGGATTAAGGTTTCCATGAAGATATGACAGTCATGACTTTTCGTATGTGTCAGCTTTCCCTCAACATATCGGCATGTTTTCCCAAGTTCGACGCATAGCCCTCGGGCATCTTTAGGTTTGTTACCCACTCACTAATCTGTCATCTTTGTTCCAAAGTGAATGTTTAGCTGGCCTTGGGCTTGAACACCTTACCATTATTCCCAGACTTCAAATGTAATTCAGGTCGTCTGCAATATTCTTGTAAGTCCAGTCTAGCCTTCGGGTTATCTTTTGTCTTATTCTTATCATCCATCACTGTATTGAACAAATATTCAAAATAGTTCTTCTTAATATGCATGACATCAAGATTGTGTCGGAGAAGATTATCCTTCAAATATGGCAACTCCCAAAATATGCTCTATTTTGTCCAATTATGAGTAACACCACATCCAGGAAATCTAGAAGGTGGGGCCTCGGTAACTTTAGTGATGTTCTGAAACCTCTCCCAAATTTCCTCACCGGAATAAATTGGAGGTGCAAAATCATGTTGAACTGTATTATTTTTGAATGCATTCTTCATCCTTCTGAACTCATGATCAACTGGCAAGAACTGATGATGACAATCAAACCATGTCTACTTTAAAAGGTGGGGCCTCGGTAACTTTAGTGAAGTTCTGAACCCTCTCCCAAATTTCCTCACCGAAATAAATTGGAGGTGTCAAATCATGTTCAAATGTATTCTTTTTTAATGTTTTCTTCATCCTTTTGAACTCATGATCAACTGGCAAGAACTGACGGTGACAATCAAACCATGTCTGCTTTCGGCCATGTCTTAAAGTGAACGCTTTACCATTTTCCATGCAGTAAGGACATGCTAGCTTTCCGGCAGTCATCCATAATAAGTTAGCACGCAAGTTGAAATTTTGCTTAGTTGATATATCATATGTCTCAAATCCATCATACCATAACTGTTTAAGCTCATCAATCAGAGGTTGAAAATATACATCAATCAAACTCTTTGGATTGCGGGGACCAGGAATAACACAATTTAAAAAAATATATGGACTAGTCATACACATTTCAGGCGGAAGATTATACGGCGTAATAAAGACCAGCCAGCATGAATATGGTATTGCAGAAACAGAAAATGGTGTGAAACCATCAGCACACAAACCCAACCGAACAATCCTCTGTTCACTAGCATAATCCGGATACGCCCTATCAAAATTCTTCCAAGCTTCCCCATCTGAACAATGACACATAACACTGGGCGGCCTTCTATTTTCATAGTGCCATCTCATATGAGGAGCGGAACTCATCGATGGGTACAACCTCTTTAATCTAGGAATAAGTGGTAAGTAATTCATCGACTTCACAACAGCCTTCTTCCCGCTGGAAAGCCGCTTAAAATGAGGTTTTTCACAAAATTTACAACTTTCTAAATGTGCATCACCCTTATAATACAACATACAACCATCTTCACAACAATCGATTCTCATAGACGAGAGTCCTAACTTAGAAACCAACTTTCTAGCCTTATAGAAATCTTCAGGTATGTTGAAAGTTGGGTCAACTAGTTCACTCATAAGGCCAATGAAAGAATCCATTCCCGCTTGAGAAATATTGGTATATGATTTGATACTTAATAATCTAACCGCAACAGACAACTGAGAGTGCATACTCCTTTCCCTTAGTGGACGACTAGCGGCATTTAATTGTTCATAAAAATATTTTGCCTCTTCGTTAGGAGGTTGTTCAACACTTTCATGGGTTTCAAAATCGAAGTGCATCCCAAAAGCATCCGCAACCATTTCATGGTATCTAGGAAGTTGAACGTTATTCCCCACCGACCTACTACTTTCACCAACAACTACATTATGAAATACACCATCACTAGCATCAATCTCTCCATGACTAGTCCACACAAAATAATTATCCATAAACCTTTTTTTATAAAGATGAGTCTTAACATCCTCCGATCCAAAAAAAATGCAAACACTTGCACTTCACACAAGGACACCTAATCATCCCTCCAATCCGAAATGGTTCAAGTTACATTGCATGTCTAATAAATTCCTTAACCCCTTCTATAAAATTCCCCCCCCCTCCNTAAAGAACAAATAAATTACATGTTATATTAATCATAATTCAAATTAATTTATAGAATTAAGTTACATAATAAATTATAATTTGTTAGCACACTCAGTTAATCTAGCATAATTAGTTAAGCCTAATTTTCTAAAAGCAATAAACACTAGTAAAACAATATTATCCCCTAAATTAATAAACCCTAAATTTCTAAAAGCAATAAACACTAATAAAATAATAAATTAAACCCTAAAATAATAAATTAGACAAAAACCCTATTATACATCCAACTACGATATTCCATCTACATAAAGAACAAATAAATTACATTTATATTCATCATAATTCAAATTAATTTATAGAATTAAGTTACATAATAAACTTTAGTTACAAATTATAATATTTAAATTATTTGAGTGCATATTAATTTAGTTACAAGTTACAAATCACCCCAAGTTGAAAACCTTATTAACCATCGAAATGAAAAGGATTTGTCTTATATTCTTTGATAGTGTAAACAATTTTAACATAATTAATCAATTTAAATTGCTATAAAAAATTACTTAATGTTAGCAACTTCACTAATTATGTGAAGTTACCTTTTTGAATTACATTTAAAGTGACATTGAATTGTAATTTTTTTCACATTGTTAGAATATAAAAATTAAACTCATTTGAAAATATGTAAGAAAGAATCTGATAAATTTCTGGAATTTCATATAGTACTACTCCAAAAATCATGACCATGTAATCATACAATTGAAATAATCTCAAAATCCAAAATTGTAAACCCTAGTTTATACAATTGAAAGAATTTAAATAACTAAAATTAACAAATATAGATAACTAACCTTCAAAAAGAGGAGAGGAGTATGATTTTGGAGCAGTAGTGGGGCGGAGGAGCAGTGGTGGGCGGAGGAGCAGTGGTGGGGCGGCCTTCTATGGCGGAGGTGCAATGGCGGCGGAGAAACAGTGGTGGCGCGGGAGAGACGAAGTGGGGGGTTTGATTTTGGGTGAGAAGGGAGTGGTGAGGTGATTTGGGTGGGATTTGGGGAAGGATTTTCGGGTGTGGAAGAAGAAGGAGAGAAAGTGTAACGACCCGACTGGTCATTTTGAGCAATTGCATCCGGGTCGGCAGTTTGAGGTAACGAGTAGCTTCACACAGTGTATTATGACTTGCGTGCATTAGCGGTTCGGGTTTTTGAGAAGTTCGGGAAGGATTTTTAGAAGTAACTTTCATTTGAGAAGCTTGAAGTTGAAAGAATTGACCAAGAATAGACTTTTGAGTATTTGACCTCGGATTGAGTTTCGATTGTTCCGATAGGCTCGTGTTGTGATTTTGGACTTAGGTACGTGTCCAGAATTGGATTTGGAAGTCCGTGGGTTGAATTGAAGCAATTCGGCAAAAGTTGGTAAAGTTAAAGTTTGGAAGATGGAAAAATTTGACCAATAGTTGAATTTTGTGATATCTGGGTAGGATTGCGATACTGAGAGTTGGAACAGCTCCGTTATGTCATTTGGGACTTGTCTGCAAAATTTGACGTCATTCCGGGTTGGTTTGATAGGTTTCGGCACTAGTTTTAGAAGTTGGAAGATTGGAAAGTTCATAAGTTCGATTCATGGTGTTATTCATTGTTTCGGCATTGTTCGATGTGATTTGAGACCTCGAGCAAGTCCGTGTTAGGTTATAGGACTTGTTTGGCTGTTTAGACGGGGTCCCGAGGGCGTTGGGTGTGTTCCGGGTGGGCTACGGGTCATTTTCCCTTATTTTGAACTGTTGTTTGCTGTCTTCTAGTATCCTTCTTCACGATCCCGAATAGTCCCTCGCGTTCGCGAAGTGTTTCTGCTGACCACCTCGAAATCCTTCTTCGCGTTCGCGTTTGACATCTCGCATTCGCATATTAATTCACGCGTTCGCGAAGAGCAGTCGTTGGGCCATCAGACTTTTTCTCGCGTTCGCGAACGTGTTGTCGCATTCGCGAAGCACATCTGAGGAGCCTTCATCTTTCCTTCTTCGCGAATACGGGTATCCTTCCGCGTTCGCGATTCTTTAGCATCTGGGCAGAATAAATAGTACACTATTCCGAGAGTTGCCATTTTCACCATTTCTGGAGTTCTGAGCTCGGTTTTGGGCGATTCTTTGTGGGTTTTTCAAGCAAAACGATTGGGTAAATGTTCTTCACATAGAATTTATTATATTACATGATTTTATCTTTATTTTTATCATTTAATTGGTGTTTTAGGTTGAGGAAAAATGGGGATTTTTAAGAAAACTTTCAAAATAAAAAAATCAAGATTTGAGGGACCAAATAGTATCGGAATTTGATAAATTTTGTATGGTTGAACTCGTATCGGAATGGGTATTCGGTTTTTGTATAATTTGTCGGGTTCCGAGGTGCGGGCCTGGGGGTTGACTTTTGGACCGATTTTTAGAATTTGATAAAGATTGAGACTTTGTGATCCGATTAGTTTCTTATGAGTTTTATTTGTGCTTTGAAGTTATTTTGATTAGATTTGAGCCGTCCGAAGGTCTTTTCACCCGAGAAGTTTATTTTAGAGTACTGGTTTGTCTTCTTTGAGGTAAGTGTCTTGCCTAACCTTGTGTGGGGGATTTCTCCTTAGGATTCGAGTTTTCTATGCTAATTGTATTCCGTGTATGCGAGGTGACGAGTGCGTGCTCGGACTTATTTGTGGAAAATTTGCCTTTTAGGGTTCTTAGGTCCTTGAATTCACTAAGTAGGAAGTTGTTCAGATCTGATTGAGTTTCTTATTTGCTAGTTTCACCTCTACATGCTCTATACGATGTTGTTAGCACTTCTCAACCTCTTACTTGTTATTTGGTCCTTATTTGCCTTAATTGAAGTGATTGCCTTCCTTATTGTTTCTGTTACTTCTTAATTGTGAGTTCCTCTAGGACTTTGTGCATATATGCTACATGTCCAAATTGTTGTGGTTGCCTGTGTAGTTATCACGTGCCTTACATGTCTTGTTGTTTTTGTAAAGGTTGTTGTATTCCTTTGATGTTTACGTGATTCTCTTGTTGCCGTGTACTCATACTCTTGGTGGTAGAAATTCTTGTAATTGAATTGTTGATTTGTTGTTGTTGATTTAGGTTATGTACAGTGGGATCAGGTTGCACGCCGCAACAGGAGGAATAAGAGTGATATATTGAGGTGGAATAAGGGTGAATTGATATTATATGGTGGGATCGGGTTGTGCGCCACAACATATTATGTTTATTATTATGATATTGGCATTATTCGGTGGAAAAGGGTGCACGTCCGCAAGTAGGATAAACTAAGGGGTGAGTATAGTTGAGGAGGAATAAGGGTGAATTGATATTATATGGTGGGATCGGGTTGCACGCCGCAACAGGAGGAATAAGGGTGATATATTGAGGAGGAATAAGGGTGAATTGATATTATTTGGTGGGATCGGGTTGCGCGCCGCAACATATGTATCCCCTGTTTTATTATATTGACTTTAGTTCCTTCGTGCAAGACTTTGATAATTTGTATTTCTGGTGTTCAGTGAGTTTTGAGGACCGAGTTATTGTTATTGACTTATTGACTTGCCATCATTTCCTGAGTTCTTTTCCTAATACTATTATTCCGGTGAACTAATTTTTAAAGAAAATTTACTACGTTGAGTCATTTCCTCTTGCCCTGCTGAGTCGTCCGTAATATCGTGATTTAAAATGAAGGAATTAATATCATGCTTCCTTGTGTGCCTTTAAGTTAGAACACAAGGTATATTTTAGTATCTACTATTTCTAATAATTGTTATATTTTATTCCAACTGATTTCTAAACTAAATCTCCTTAACCTGACTGAGGTTATATTTTTCTTAAAAAGGAATTTCTGTTAAGTTTTAATTTAATGAATCCTATATTAAAGGCGATAGCTTATCCGATGTTGTATTTCTATTTGAAAAATATTATTTTCTTCACTCAAATGATTTCTAAAAATAACTTCATCTTTTGTCGCTGGTTTTTCTATTTGGTCTAGAAACTGTAAATTTACTTTATGATATATAAATGGAAATTCTTGAACATCTTAATTAGCGTTTGTCACGAATATTATGTACTGAGTAGCACGTGGATCTTTGACGTGCAAAGTGAAAGAGAAATATGTGGGCATAAGGTGCCATGTGTGTTAAAGGTTTGGACGTTGTGATTGTGATATAAGATTTCGAGGATTGGATGGTCGGAAGTGTGTGTTTGGAATGATGCGATTGATTGAGTTAACATTGTTTTCCTTATTTGAGCACATTTTTACTTGTCTGTATCCCAGCTATGTTGGTGTTAATTTACTTGGTTACTTTTCGGTACTATCCGTGTTTTCTCCCTTATCGTCTCTACTGTTTGTAATTTGATTTCTTCCTACTATTGGCATTGCTTTGTTATCTTTATCTTGTTAGTTTATTATCATATCATGTTCAGCTTATTAGACCAGTAGGTGTCTTGACTGTTCCTCGTCACTACTCTACCGAGGTTAGTCTTGATACTTACTAGGCACCACTGTGGTGTGCTCATAGTACACTTCTACATATTTTTGTACTGATCCAGGTATTTGATCATTAGTGGCTGTGCGGATCCTTGCTGTGGAGACTCAAGGTAAACCTATTGCTGAGTTCGCAGGCCTCAGAGTCACCTACTATTGTTCTTGTTTCCATTGTTTCCTTTTGTTCTGGAACAGTAATGTATTCATTTTGTATAACTACTCCTAGAAAGGCTTATGACTTGTACTACTAGTTTTGGGAATTATAAATTGTTCAGAGATATCTAATTCGAAGTTAGTGAATATTATCGTTATTTTTGTTAATGTTAGGCTTACCTAGTTTTAGAGACTAG